TGCATGCCTGATTGGTATATGTCACGGATTGAATCATGATAAAAAAAGGGAAAGGAAAGGAAAGAAAGTGCGATTATTGAAACAAATTAATTCCTATTTGTAATGTTTCTTTCTTTTAATTTTACACGTTTTGTGCAGACATTAAGCGTCCCATACATGAAGTCATCACGCAATAAGACCTCTAAAACAATATTACAAGGGGTAAGTAGTTAGGGTTTTCTTTAGAGTAATGTTATTCTTACCACAATTTTATATCATATTTCTTTATCATCTTAGGTGGCAGATGAGTTGAACAAGCTACATCATTTAATTTCAATCTTTTTATTAATTAAAACACTTAAATAATCTTAGGCGGCAGATGAGTGGTACAAAAATATAGTAAGAATAGCATTATTGTTTTCTTTATAATTTGGAATTCATGTGAGTCTAATCTCATGATTAATCCCATATACCAACCCTGATTAAAATGCCTAAAAATGGTTGGAAACTAGTTTTTATTTTTGTTTTATAAGATTTTTTTTGTTTTTCTTTAGACTTTTAGTCTTTGCCGTACACGCATTTTTTTTTTTGTGAAAAATGTTGTACAATATATGTCAGTGCTAGATAATTGTATATTTGTATTCATAATTTAGTTGAGATATTATATGACATCCTACTAATTAGTAATGATGATTAGGGCATGGCGGAGATCAATGGAAATGGAGAGACAAAGCGAGATCTCATAAGTAGAGGGCTCTGCCTCGTGCCATTGTCATGCATGTCTTATGTGACTGGTGATGTCGGCGGTGGTGGTGGCAGTGGCAGTGGTAGCCTTTGGTCAACTCCTAACTTTGGTGGAGGGACTTAAATTAATGCGTATGATTACATATGGTCAATATCATATAATCAAGTTAAAAGTTTTGGTCAACTAAATACTTGGCTATTCTTTTCAATAAGTGATTTACGCGCATTTTTTTTCCTTGCACAGTACCTTTGTTTATTTGTGGCAACGGATTCCATAAACCAAAAAAGAATCAAGGAATAAAACAAAGACGTGCAGAAGAGGAGAAAAAGTGTGCGGAAATCATTTCCCTCCTTGAAGCCGGATAAAAATGAAATCTTCAATCCCTTCTTAGTTTTATGGAGCAAATTTGGTCCTCGCCTTAAGCATTCATGGATGGACCAAGTTTGATCCATTGACAATTTATGTGTACCATTTATAGATCAAGCCTCCTCGGCCTTATTGATGTATGCAATTTATTGACGCTCAAAATAATATTTTATTTCAGTTTCAGTAATAAAATAATAAAAGTTAATATTCCACTTCAATCCTTGGTACTTGGTAGCATCAATTAGGCCCCGAAGCTCCGTTCAGGTTTCGGGCTCCAGGTTTGTCCATCAAAGCCGCCCAACCCATTTTATATGTTTCCACCTCTTTACCCAATTTTAATATTCTTGATATATGTGATGCAGAGATCATTTGCTATTTTTTTTAACAAACAATATTATGATCTTTAATTAATGATTCCAGTAGATTGTCTTTATAGCATTTTTTCAATACTTCGGTTGGCGAACTAAGTTATACTTCATAAAGGGCTATCCATCATAATTTGGTTTAAATTCGCATTTGGTGAGAATCAAACTTAATAACTCTTATTTACAAGTGAAAATAAATATCACTAGATCATAATATTAAGTGATGATCATTATAGCATTTTCCCTTAATATTTGGTTTTTATCTCAAAATTATTATTAGCACCATAATAATTAATATCAAACTTATTATCTACGGACTAGTAACACTAGTAAGATTGTGGTAGGAGTATCTATTGGTTGTCATATTTGAATTCTAAGAAGAAAACAAATCTACTTTCAAATGAGAGGCCGATAGTTTGTCCGTTTGCGAGGAGCCTCTTCAATCAATTCCAGCTAGCCTTCTATTATTTTACGATTCCCAAATTCCAAGGGACGTTGGACACTTTAACATTTCATACAAATATTTGTCTGTTAGTTTTCAGATATTCAAAAAAGCCACACAATTTAGGTCCAATACTTTTTGAGCAAACGCTTCATATGTGAGAGATTTTTCAATGTGATTAGAACACAGAGTGGTATATCATTGTCATTATACAAATAGTAAGATATGTGTGTTAAAAAGTTAATAACTTAAAAAATACAATTTTTTACTATTTATATAAAAATACATGGTATATCATTTGTGTTCCGGTCACAATAAAAAATTTCTCCATTTGTGGATGTCTTATGGTTGCTGATATAGTTGGCGTTCCTAATTCTCGTGATTAGAGTGACAAATTAATTTATTGAGTTGTTAATATGTACTTCTTAGAATTTGTTTAATTTAATATAACTATAATATAGATTTGAGATTAATCGAAGTGATAATAATGTAATGTGAAATCAAACTAATCTATTAACAATCTTATAAGTTGATTCACCACCTCTACTCGGCATATTATGATGTAATTTCTTTTTTTTTTTATAGGCTTTTTGTCCTGTCGTGAACAAAAAGAAAACACAATTCCTACACTTCAGCGGATCACTTATTTAATGGTGTAAGTTGCCTCTTAATTAATCGTTATTATTAAACTAATACTAGTGTACAACAATATTTTCCCGGTAAGTTGTTTCTTTTATTCCCCATTAATTTAATAACATTTCCATATGTAAAATATGCGACTCCTGCAATTCGGCCAATATTAAAATGGGTTTTTGTTATTATTTATTTCTTTATTTATTATATTAGCTTTGTTTTGAAACTAGAAGGTGAAGCCCGGAATAGGATTATCTCCTGAGCAAATACTTGGGATTCTCATGACAAATCAACATGGTTGTTAGATTTTGATCAAACGGTTACAAATAGATGATTCTTTTAAAAAATTATAATAATTGTAACCATTGAATCAAAATTTAACAATTCGTGTTGATGGATCATGAGGATCCGAGCATTTGCTCTGGAGAGGATCCTATTCGGTGAAGCCCACCGATTCCATTGACATGGACAAAGATTTTAATATAATTATATGATAAAAACCATGACTTGTGCGTTCGAATCAGCACACCAGCAGCACACGGTAATTAATTAAAGGGTTTTTGCCATGACGCCACGTCACCATATCAAGCCACGTCAAAACGAACTGCCAGCTTTTATTGACTATGCCAATTTTTTTTCTTCTTGTTATTTATATACCACCGATTAAAAAAAAAAAACGGCATTGTTTACATTGAAAAAAAAGAGTGGACTTGATTTTATAATGAGTTACCAAAATTTTTTAAACGTTAATCAATTCCAAAAAATTTAACATGCCTTTATTCATATTTGATCCCCTTGTCGGCTACGAAAATATTCTCATAATATTAAAAAAAAAAAAAAATCTTAAAACCATTCAAACAAACTCAATAAAATAAAGCAATACAAGCTTTCATATGTGTGTATCATTTACTACATGTATTTTTTTGCTCACCATTGTATTCATTATTATTAAATAAATTTAAATTTTAAGATCAGTGTCGTAGATAGATATAAATATTAAAATCTAATACATTTCATGCTCACCATTGTATTCATTATTATTAAATAAATTTAAATTTTAAGATCAGTGTCGTAGATAGACATAAATATTAAAATCTAATACATTTCATGATAATAAGTAGGATAGTTAGCATTATCATCACTTAGAGATAGTTTTTAGAGTGCAAAGAGCACAACCTGGTAAACCAAAGTCATAGTTAAGTGGTTATATACTTGAAAAAAATTTAATCACTTATATTTTAATATTTAGTATACCTAACCGTGTCTCAACACATTGAAAAATTTGCTCTATTACTTGATGGTGGTGAAAGAATTTGAGATGATCAAATCATTTATGATAACACATTATAATTTTGCTATTACTTTTGCCATTTGTTGCAACTCTACGATGACAAAATCCCCGTTTTTATGGAATAATTAGTTAGGAAAATCACAGTGTCTATTAATATTGGTGGTCTCATCAAATATTTGATATGTGACGTTTGTTGCCATTTTTATATCCAAAAAAGGACAATCGTATCAGTATTACGTAAAAAGGGAAAAAGAAAAAGGAAATATAGCTGATATTTTCGAGGGAAAAAAAAAAAAAAAAACAGAATTTGATATTTTTGAGGGAGAAATAGCATAAGACAAAGGTGAACTTTCAATGTGATTGGTACACAGTATATCAGGTGTTATATATGTGTGTTAAAATTTAATAATTTAAAAAATAAAATTTCTCATCGCTTTTATAAAAACATATGATGTACACTCGTGTTCCGATCACATTAAAAAATTTCTCCAAACGAAAGGCATTATCCATATCACCCCTGAAGAATGAACACACGTGGCAGTCATGTAGGAATCTTGATCTCGTCGACCGCCGGCCGTGTTGCACCGCAGACCATGCATTTATGTCATCCTACGCGCGCAGCCGCTACTTTCAGTCAGACCGGTATTATCCACTCCGCTCGAAAGTCGTTAATACCCTTTCCTCATTTAGTAAACCGCACTTTTTAATTAAAATTGAAGCTACAACAATTAATTAAATTGTTAAATATCATCGATATTTTGCAAAATTAACCTCTAGAGATGACCTACAAAAGTGACAATTTGGATCATCACTCGACAAAACAAAAATTGTAAAAATGATCATAAGAAAGTAGGAGGAAAAAGTTCAATAAGAAGTAAAATGTTTCAGTGTGTTAAATATATTGATGATGAATCTTTTATCGTTAATTTTTTTTTAAAATAAGTTTCTTTTTATACTTTAACTTGTTAGATTCGGTTTCTTTTGAATTTCTTGTTGTAAATTAACTATTTTCCGTACGCTGAAGCATAATAAAAATTCTGTTTGGATGAAAATGTTGCTAGCAATAGCATTGATTTAGAGTTGACAAACCAGCTCAAATACCACAAGGATAGAACCGTAATTTAAGAAAACGTACTTGATTCATGTTGTCCTCAAGAACTACAAGTACTTTATTCTTCATTAATGCAATCATTATACGGAGGAAGAAAAATCTCTTATCTTCTCGCCTTTCCTTTTTCTGCGATCCTCCTTCTCCCTAATTTTTCTCCAATTATTCCTCCTATTTTCTGCAACCCTAATAATCTCCAATTTCTTCATCCACAAGCCTTCCTCTCACTCCACTGATCATTTCTCTGTTTTTCTCCAGATCATTCGATCGCAATTTTTTTTATTTTTCTGGATTCGGATCTTTGTTAATTTCAGGAGTTTAATTTCTGGATTTCGGAATCCTTGAAACTCCGTGGAGAATCGGTGAAGACGAGCTTCGGAAAACGGACGGCTAATAAAGCTTTTGATCGGTGATTAAAAAGGTCTGATCTTTTTTATTAAAAAAAAAAGGTCTGATTTTTTGTTCTGGTCTTGTTTTTTGTGATTGATTATTATCTCTAACACTTCCAGCTGACTACGAGGTGTTAGAAATTTGGAAGAGAGTGAGTGAGAGACTGGATTTTTAATTTAGTTTTTACCGTTATAATTTACTAAATCATGATTTAGATCTAATTCATACACTAATCAAACGTAAAATTTCCAGTATTTTTATATATTTTCTAGGCAACCAAACAGCATATCTTTAATTTGTTTATTGTGTTGGATTTTGGAGAAGGTATATGATGGCGACTTTGCAAGGGCCGGTAATTTGCCCAACCGTTCGCGCAAAACAATCGGGGTTTGACACTCTGCCTGTGGTAGGCCCTTTGGTGAAGGCGGGTTTTTCTTCTCGCTCTCGAAATGCTAGAAAATGCTCAAGAGTGCATTGCATTTTCAGTTCGTCGTCGGATGGCAACGGAAGCATGGCGGAGAATTTCAATGAAAATGATGAAGATTATGTCAACTCTAGCGTACTTGAAGCCGGTACGCTATTGATCAGTTTCCTCTTTTATGTAAACCGTTAACTCCGTCTTACAATTGAATTATGAATCTTTATAATTGAAATGCCAATGATCTGAAGCACCTGACTGAATGATTACAGTTTTGTAAAACTACTTGCATATTTGATGTATCCTGTGAACCGTTGAGTAATAAGTCTCTGCGTTTGGTTTTTGGTATAGTCGAGGTGAAGAGCGGAATTGATGGATTCATGATCAAAATGCGGGATGGTAGGCACATGAGGTGTGTCCATAACAATCCTCAGGGGGGCCATCTCCCCGATTATGCTCCGCATCCTGCAATTGTATTGAAGATGGAAGACGGGACCGGTCTTCTTCTCCCAATAATTGTTTGTATGTTATCCTGGACTAATAATTTCCAACATTACAAGTTTTCTATTTTGAAATTTACCTTAGAAAGTTATTTGAATTCGGGTTTGCCTTTGATTGCAGTGGAGATGCCTAGTGTGTTGCTCATGGCAGCGGTCCGCAATGTTCCTATTGTATGGTTTCTTTCTACATTGTCCTTCCATTTGAATTAAGATTTTGTTTTTCTGCGGTCGTCGAGCGGGCAAAATTAGGCCTTGCCAATATATTGGTTAATGTAGGAATATTCTAAAAATCTATAAATTTTTGGTATTTGGTTTGCAGGCTAGGCCAACTATGTATCAAGTGGTGAGGGAGATGATTGACAAGATGGGTTATGAGGTATGTCTGTGTCCTCCCCCTTGTACAATATGACAATGCTTGTTCATTAATGTACATTCTTCGTGATCTTTGATTGTTTTTGTTTGTTTTCGATCTCTGCAGGTCCGACTTGTCAGAGTCACCAAGAGAGTGCATGAGGCGTATTTTGCTCAGTTATACCTCAGAAAGGCATATACCTTCACACTTCATAAGGCTTAATTTTTGTTATTATAGGTTAAATTTTATTGTTACTATTCTTTTAGTCATTTGGGGTGGGGGAAAGCGGGGAGGGACTGAATTACTTCTGGAAAATCAAATTCTGAAGTTGCTTGGTTAGTGTATAGTGACACTGTGTTAGAAGTGATCACAGGCAGGTAGTGAGACAGAATGTGTCAGCTTCGACCTTCGGCCTTCAGATGCCATCAACATTGCTGTACGATGCAAGGTACATACTATGCTCTTAAGATCTACTTTCAGAATCCGTAGAAGTAGATTGCTTAAAATTCCTGCTAAAACTCTCTCAACTTTTAGAAATGCTGGACTATATAAGTAATCTACAGGGTAGATAGCTTTAAATGCTTAATACCCGTTTTGTGATCAACTGTATTCTTTCCACGTTCCGTGCAGGTTCCCATACAGGTCAACAAGTACCTGGCATACAGTGATGGAATGAGAGTTATTGAATCGGGAAAGTTCTCGACTCAGGGCCCTGCTTCAGATGGATTATTATTTACTGAACTGGATCGGTAAGTATTGAATCTCTTAGACATGGGTCTTATTTTCAATCTCGAAGAGATTGTTCCTGAGTTGAATGTAAGCCAACTGATCAGATAATGTAACGGTTGGTCTTGGAGCAGGTGAGTTGTAAAGGGAATTAAATCTGATCAGATGATGTAACTGGTTGTCTAGGTTGAACTTAAATGCATGTTCTGTCTTTAAGAAATTCATGTAGATAGGTGTTTGAATTTATGTGTATTGCAATCTGAGCAAGGTAGAACCTACCTCTAAATTTATCATTCAGTAAAATAGAGGAGTTAATTGAAACTTTATATGGTTTCAGGCCAAATGGTCAACCATGTGTTGAAACGAAGGAGTTTAATCTCGTGCGCAACATGCTTATTGCTGCAGTTGAGGAACGCTATAGAGATGCTGGTAAATATGTTTCGTCCGTTTAGTATTTTTGAGATCTTTCCTCTCCACTTACTCGTAACAGGCTTTCCCTTTTCACCTATCAAAGTTCTGTAATTGTTGGTGCTCTTTCATTTGTGTTTGGTTGTGTTTGTATCAATGCTGTTGGAGCTTTTAAATCTTACATGTATATTTTCATGCTCACTCACAGCTCAGTGGAGGGACAAGCTCCTCCAACTTCGTGCTAGAAAGAACTTGGCATGACAGGTAAGAAGCCCGCCCCAAACTAGTCGAAATTTTGAGTGTTAACTGTAACTGCAAGCCGGATTGATGTCTCTTCATTTCTTCTTCTATTTTTTCAGAATCGCCCGTAGGTATTTAAAGTTGTACATAGACAGCATTCTTGGAAGTTTGATAAGCTCATCGGCTGCACCCGCAATCCGCCATGCATCTCTGCTCTTCTTATATATATATATATTTAATGTAAAAAACCTGTGAATATTGTAAGCAATGATATGTATAATATCTAGACCGTAGATAAACTTACTCGCAATGTAATGGCACTTCTTGGTTTCTGCTATTATTCTGCCACTTAATTTGGAGTCCTTATTGCTGATGGCATGTGTGATTCCATGCCAACTTATACCATTTTGCTGAATGATGGTGATATCCACATCCTTTATTTAACCTCTTACACACCATTCTCAATTTCGACCGTTGGATCAAACGAGCTGAAGAATTTCAAAGACATAATTAACAAGGTGTGTGGGAGGTAAAAAGTAGTGTCTCTTTACTCAATGGCATGCATTACTTTGCTCCAAGAGCTTGTAATAAAAGCTCAAGATCATTGAACAAATCATCTGATCACGTCATCTATAAAATATTATGGTCAGCATCTCTAATGGAGATGTCAAAAGATAAATGTCAAATGTTAATTTGACGGCTAACGTGGTAATGTTGGACTTTTTTTTTTTCCCTAACCGATATGTTTTTTTGTTATAAATGATATTTGTTGGATCCATTTTAAAAGAAATCAAATTAAAATAAATTTTCAAAGTCTATAATTGGTGCATTAACGGGATCCACAAAATAAAATAATAAAAAAAATTATTTGACATCACATTTTTTCATATGTCAATCCACATAGGATTGACATATTGGTTGGAGTTTGATCCTACCTTCAAATTTGATTACATGACATTTCATTTCGAATTTAACATCTCATTTGAAGATGATCTTATAGGCAAACTAATTCAGACGAGTGATGCATTCAATTATTGCCATCGTAATTAAAGTTGTTCCGAATATCACTTTACCAAAAGGGAAACGTAAAACGCAAGAAATTTAATTGGGGATGATTTTGGCCTAAAAATGGAAGACCATATTCTTTTATTCAGCAACACGCGTGATGATTTCTGCTGTTTTCTCTACCAAATCTACTTATCTCATGACTCATGAGCATTTCCTCCACGGTAAAATTATTGCTGTTTCCCAAACACCGAGACCGCTAAAAGAAAGAGAAGGTCGTAACGCCGTTGTTAAATTCCCGCCAAGTCCGGCGCGCTTTATGCCGACGTGGCAGGCTCCACCAGTTGGATTAAAGTGGCGCGTATTTGAGACTTCCGAAACGGCACACACGTTACCAGATAGTTTATCCGTTACCGACGTTTTCCCGTGGCCGTGAGGCGTTTTCCAATCGCCGTCATTTAATCAAACCCAATAATAACCTGATTAAAATTAAATCCCACGTTAATCTTGATTACAGAAATATCTTAAATTCGCCTCCTTCAGTGGCTTCAGACTCCTTCTCACTCCGAACCTTCGTCTAGCTCGGAGACGCTTTCTCACTCCAAGAATCGGAAATTCGGAAGAGGAAGTCTCTCGTCTGCGTCCGCCACCGGTTTCGGCAGCTCTCGGAACGCCGCCATGTCGGGACCTCTTGATCGATTCGCCAGGCCTTGTGAGTTCCCGCCTTCTTTGACTGACTCCTATCTCTTCTTCTGTTCGTTCATTGCTTCCTATTTTCTTTAATTTTATGAAATTTAGATTGTGCTAATTGCGCTGGTTCTAGAGTTTTGGATTGGGGCGTTTGAAATTTTATCTTTGATGATAGCATTAGGGCTTGATGATGGTAACTTTGTTGACGTTGATTAGGTTTTGAGGGGTTCTCTAGCCACGACGAAAGGAGGGAAAGGAAGTCGGATTTTGAGAACTCGGAGGAGGAGAGGAGGTCTGGAATTGGTAGGAATTTGAAGAAGAAAGCAATTAATGCGTCTACAAAATTCAGACGTTCCCTCAAGAAGAAGAGGAGGAAGAGTGGTGGTGGTAGTAGTTGTAGGCTGTCCACTTCTGTTTCGATTGAGGATGTAAGGGACGCCGAGGAGCTACGAGCTGTTGACGCATTTCGGCAGGCCCTTATCTCGGAAGACTTGCTGCCTCCAAGATATGATGACTATCATATGTTATTGAGGTTGCTAATTTTCCCAAGAAATATTTTTTATTTTCCTGCGAACAAGAATCGATATGGGAAGTTTGATTTTGCTGTTTCCTTTTTAAGATTTAATGAGAAGTTATTTGTTGCAGATTTTTGACAGCAAGGAAGTTCGATATCGAGAAAGCAAAGCACATGTGGACCAATATGATTCAGTGGAGGAAAGATTTTGGTACTGATACAATTTTGGAGGTAAATTTACCAAACAATTCTGCTTGCATTTTCTTGCTCTGCAATGCATATTTAGAAAAATGATTAATGTTGTTGATGTGCCACCCATCGGCTGAAATAAAATTCACATCCTTGTTTCTTCTAGGATTTTGAGTTCGGTGAGTTGAATGAAGTTCGAAAGCACTACCCTCAGTTTTATCATGGTGTTGACAAGGAGGGAAGACCTGTTTACTTTGAAAGGTTGGGGAAAGTCGATCCCAACAGGCTTATGCAAGTGACTTCTTTGGAACGGTATGTGAGATACCATGTGCAGGAGTATGAAAGGAGTTTTGCCATTAAGTTTCCTGCTTGCTCTATTGCTGCAAAGAGACATATAGATTCAAGTACAACAATTTTAGATGTTCAAGGCGTGGTATGCTTTCACTTGGCATGAAACTCCTCAAGTGTTTGTTGAATTTTTATTGTTTTGCAAAAAATATAAAAATGCTACTTTAACATTTCCATGTTTCTTCTTTCAGGGTCTTAAAAACTTTACTAAGTCTGCACGAGATCTCACAGAGCGGCTGCAGAAGATTGATAGTGACAACTATCCTGAGGCATGAGGACTCTATATATATCCTTTCAATAATTGATCACTTTCAGTGTGTGGCGATTCTATTTAAATCCATATGAAGCATATCTTCTAATATTAAAATTTCATCTGTGCAGACGCTTTGCCGAATGTTAATAATCAATGCTAGTTATGCTTTTAGGAAGGTGCTCTGGCCTACAGTTAAAGCATTCCTCGATGCCAGAACAACCAGCAAAATTCATGTATGGTTAATGACACACCCAAGGTTTGATGTTACCATTGACTGAAGTTATCAATGGGGTCAACTGATATTGTTATATTTTTGCAGGTTCTGGGTAACAAGTACCAGAGCAAATTGCTTGAAATAATCGATGCAAGGTGATTGATGCTCTCTATTTTTTGGTGGGTCCATGAGTTGGTTATCATTCTGTTTTCATAACTTTTAACTGTGGAAACAATTTGGTTCTATTCAGTGAGTTGCCAGAATTTATGGGTGGTAGCTGTACCTGTTCCGATCAGGGAGGTTGTATGTCCTCTGATAAAGGGCCATGGAATGACCCTAACATACTGAAGGTTGTGATGGGTCGTTATTTTTGCTTCACTTTCTCTTCTTCGTTCTGCTTGCAACCGTACTATTGTATGGCTTGAAAATAATGTTCTTTGCTTGCAGATGGTACTTAATGGTGAAACACAATGTTTCAGACAAATAGTTACAGTTTCAAACAGTGAAGGGGGGATAATTGCTTTTGATAAGCCACACAATCCTATGGTACGGACTGTTAGACCATCATGCTATGTCTACATAAGAAGCCTTTTTTTTTTTGTGTATAGTATATTTGGAATTAAATCAAAGTTTTTCTCAGATAAGAAGTAGTGATACTTCTACCGCAGAGTCTGGATCTGAAGTGGAAGAAATGGGTTCACCTAAAGCAACTAGGAACTACTTACAACCTAAGTTGACTCCTGTTTGTGAAGAAGTAAGTGTTGTGTTTGACAACCATCTGTTATTTGAGAATGATTAGCAACATATGCAACTGAAGAACCAATCTTTCCATTTTTGTATGGCATTGGCCTTACTGAACACACATATATTCTGCTATAAATTGTCATCTCATTTCATTGACATTTTGAACTCATAGTTGATATGCTTCAATGCTGTTTTAGGCCAGGGTAGTTGGTAAAGCAAGTGGTGCTACTGCCTTGTCGGAGTACGATGAACAGGTTCCCATGGTTGACAAGGCTGTGGATATGGGATGGAAGAAACCAGCATTACAACAAGCACTGCTTGCTTCTGGAGGTTGGAAAGTCTAGTTACACTTCTACCTTACCGTGTAATTACAACTTGTTTTGTAGTTAGCAGAGATAATGTTTACAAACCCCATGCTAATACTAGAGTTAAAGTTAATATTATTTTGTTACAAATTCATAGTTGATTTAATTGATCAATTGGAATACATCGCAGGGGCATCTTCTCCACAATCTGTGGGGAAAACAACTGATGGAATGCTTGCTAATATCTGGACTATGCTTGTGCCATTCTTTGTAACCCTTGTTTCGCTAATCCGATCTTTTTCACTGCGGGCAACTAAGAAACTCCAAAACTCTGTTTCTGATTCTGCCCTCAACATTCCTGACCTAACCAATGAGTCAACTGCCGTGGAGGAATTCCGGCCCCCATCACCTGCACCGGGGTTATCCAGGGAAAACCTTCTCTCATCTGCTTTGAAGAAGCTTGGTGAGCTTGAGGAGAAGGTAGATATGCTGCGAGAAAAGCCTCTTGAGATGCCTTACGAGAAAGTGGAGCTACTGAATGCTGCTGTTTATCGTGTAGATGCGCTAGAATCAGAGTTAATTGCAACAAAAAAGGTAAAAAATTTCCCTCATTTGATGGTCACGTCGTTGTGCCAATTTTGCAACAGTAGGGATATGCTGCCTTTGTCTCTTACCTTTGAAAATGTACATATATATTTATTTCTCTTATGGGTTTCAGAATTCCCAGATGCAGTTAGGTTAATTGTTTTTTTTTTTCCTTCCTCTTTGTAAGTTACACATACATGCCCATCTTTATATATTTGCATTCCGTTACTCGATAAGCAAAATTCATCTATGTTTGTCCTTGCATTTTCGATCATTTGATGACTTGATTGTGATTGCATGTTTCTTCCTGATTAGGCTCTGCATGAGGCTTTAATGAGGCAGGAAGAACTTCTTGAATACATAGACAGGCAAGAACAGGCCAAGCTTCAGGTTAGTGAACGATTTGCTCGTAAATTGAATCATCTGAAATTGAAACATTTAATCAATGCCGGCTTTTCTATTTTTATTTTCTGTTGCGCTTGAAACTGAATTGTGCTTGTTCTCTGAAACAGAAAAACCGGTCATGCTGCTGGTGAAGACAATCACTGCTTCAAGAGTAGTCGCGTGTGGTATATTTCGTGTCATGCTTTCCTTGTGTATGCTGAATTGTGCTTCTTCTCTGAAACCGAATTGTGCTTGTTTCTGTTTGTATAATGTATTGTACAACATTTCCTCAATGTCTTCTCTATCAAACTTTTTGTTTGTGCATTATTATTTTAATATGCCATTTGTTTTGTCTATCAGTGTTAATTACGCCACGTGACCGTATTTCTACACTATTCCACGTAGATTGGTATACCACGTAGCCGTATTTCGCAACCTTAGGTATTGCTTTGAATTATTGGGCCTTAAGATCCAAATGATGCAAAAATATCACCAGTGGTTTAAGGCCCAAGTTTTATAGCCTATTGTATTGAGATGCTAGAGGATGGATGTGGAATATAAATATATGAAAAAGGAGGATTGATTTATTTGATTGAAAACGTGACGATGTATTTATTCCAGAAGGATCCTCGTTGGATTCTTTTTGTAAGGATTTTGGGAATCTTCCTATCATATTCGGTCATTGTACATTATGCGGTTATAAATCATTATAATTTTTTTTATTTAAAATTGAATATAAACAGTACATGATAAAAATTAGCTGCACAAAGAGAATCCGGCAAGAATCCCCACTCGTATTTATTTATTTAAGAGTCATTTTCCTCCAAAACCTAGGAAATAAGGAGCCTTCGTTTCATATGTTTGATTGATATGGGATTTGACTTTGTGGACACGACGGATCCTTACCTTTGATTTGATTTTTTTATACTTCCATTTTATTCACACACACACACACACACACACAGAGACACCAACGACCAACTTTCAATTTGTCGGACATCCACACACAATTATTTGTTTTTCCCAAATTAGAGCCAGCATATATTTTCTTATTGAATAAATTCATGTAATGAATGTTGTAACTTTGTAAGTAAAGTTATGCTTTACATACATACATACATACATACATACATATATATGTATGTATGTATGTATGTTAGGGTTCAGAGACCTGCTTTTGACATACATTTTGACACCAATTTTGTAGGGCCTATTCGTAATGTATTTTAACGATTTGAACGGTCAATATTTTAGGTTATCATTCATAGATTATCCGTGCAAAAGAATTAGACAACCCAAACCATTAAGACATTAATTTTTAGCGAAGAAAATTGACAAATACTGTTATGCAAAGAACTAAATTTAATCTAAACGATCATATGGTTTCGGATTTGGATGATTTTTGGTATGACATGATCTTTGAGTAAAGACATAAAAAATAGACGGCTCGTATCATTGAAATACATTTTAGAGTGGACCCCATAAAAACATATGTCAAAGTGTGTCAAAAACGCGTCTCCAAATTTTATGAGAAATATATTATACATAGTCGTTAAATACATGTATTTATACAATTAAGTACATACAAAAAAATAGAAATATCTTTCAAGGCACGTATTGAAATAAAACTTGGTTGTTGTATTGTATATCCGCATCCATAATTGTTTCTAAGAATCTCGAGCATAAGGTACAATGATGAGTATGTTGGGTGGACTTATTGTGGTAACTATCGTTTTGTCAAATGTAGCAAAACACAATTTGGCTTTTCATATGGCCTAGTGAATTCTGACGGACATCCATCAACACCTACCACATACACTAAGTCAAGCCGGCAATCAATCCCACTGTGCCAGGGGAATAATAATAGCCTAGTGATTTTTGTCGAAAAAAATTATGTGAAATCTATGTCAGAAAAACATCTAATTTCACCGAGGCATTTTGTTCTAAAATCTTCAAATTGAAAGATAGTGTCAGTGTCATGGTACGCTACTAGCCCGACTCTGTAACCTTGAAATTTTCACCCGCTGAACTGGAATGCCAAAGTCACTGTAGCTTCTCAAAGTCTTGTAATCAAGATTTGTTCATGTAAACAGCTTAGTTAAGCAACAATCTTCCACATAAACTATTCCGAATACCAAATTAACATTTGTATTAACATGAAATTAACACAAATATTATTAGTAATATTTAATGGCACAACATGGAACAGTAATTACATTACGGAACAGTAACTGTAATCATGTTCAGGAATCACGTACCAAACATCACATCTTTGACATGGCTTTGGGTTGTATAGAACAACGTCCTTCTTCTCGTCCTTCTTCTCGTCCTTCTTCTCATCCTTCTTCCCATCCTTCTTCTCATCCTTCTTCTCGTCCTTCTTCTCAGCCTGCGGAGGACCGATACTCACAACCGCAGCATTTTTTCTTACTTTCCTCACCTTCTTGATAATCTTTACTGGATCGGCATCCCCAGTTACCGTCACCGTATTTTTTGACAGGTCGAGGACAATGGAAGTTACCCCTTCTACCGTTGCAATCAACTTCATCACCTTTTTCCTGCACTTTGGACACATCAGTTCCACTGACACCACAGTTTTCTGCAGCAAGAAACAAAAACTAACGGTCACATTTGATTGTACTTCTGTGCTCAGAAATGATAAGTTCTGAACCATTGCAGGGTGTCAGTGAAGGACTCCACGAAAATGGTTAGTCAATAACTAACTAATAGCAGACGATAAAACAAAAACAGATGATGCAAACAAGATAATCGACTGGATATATGGAGGATGGTAGATAAAAAAAACCTTCGACATGATCTTGATTAAGAATCTGCAAGCGATAATGATCGAGATCAAAACTAGAAAAAGCTAATAACGAAAGAATGACTGAACAGAAAGAAGCTATATATAAAATGTTCTCTCAGGCCCTCTATATATTTAGTATGAGTATGCTTTCAGAACTGAGGGCCTCGGGTACAAAATGACTCTGTCAGTAGTTGGCTAGAAGTAAATGCCGATCAGAGAGGTGTTTAATTGGGTCACCTCCGCCCTCCAAAATGCAATCAATGCAGAATTTACATGTGCGGGGCCACACGCACATCCCTTGCTAGGCAAAAACACATACTTTCCACATTGTCCATCTTCACCCAGTCAATCTCCAAAGAAATCAAAGTTAAATGATGCAAATGTACCACAATTGCGGATAAAATCTAACGAGCTTTGCCCATTCAACTGATCCCATTGAAGGTGAATTAAGAAACTGATTTCCATTTCTATATCCCAAGAAATTGTGTAATGTCAGGTCTTCATCAATTTTCTGGAGACATCCTTAGCTAAAACCTCATTAGTAGGCATTCCGGCAATCAGTTTCTCAATCCACCTTTAGTGGGGTCGGTTAAATGGGCAAACTTTACCCACTTCTCAAACCCTACTTATTCCTTCTTGCTCGTACTCGAATCATCAACTTTAACAGGTTTAGATCCACACACACAAGCAGACAGACACACACAAGTGTGAGAGAGAGAGAGAGAGAGAGAGACCTATAGGCTGCCGAGGAGCTCATTGTTCAGCTCATGATTTAGCAAACCCACGGTTTATATTCGAGATAAATTCGTTTGGTTCCATTGTTCACAATTGTAGGATATCAAAGAATATATCTGCACAAATAATGAAAATTTTGATAAATATATAAAATAAAAACTATCAGGAAGCAAGAGTAATAAAAAAACTCTGATATGTAACACATAAGGAAATTAGATTACAGCTTATGCGAAAAAATTGCATAATTGAACTTTAGACCATTGGTTTGAAAATTCAGAGAAACACCATTGTTTCCTGTTTCAGTACCACAATATGAAAATGTAGCTGGGGTAGTTAATAGGCCACGTGGGCTTTGATGAAACACTGACGTTAGTTGATAAATCACTTTCCCTGTAGGGCCCAGAAATTATTTCATCAGTTTTTCCTAATATCCAATTAAACTTCCATCCATCTTACAACAACGTGTTTTATCACGTCTCTTCTTCCCTCATTAATCTCCATTCACTTTATCAGTGCAGTGTGACAATATGTAAGTACTAAACCCACATGCCATGTTTATGTTTAAACAATTACAAACTTGCATTATATATGCATAACTCAATCTAAAGTAACTGTGTACAAAGGAAATACAGAAATAATGGCCAAAAGCCAAAAAGTCTACATACAAATACAATTACAACAACCATAATTTACAGAAAAAGACTTGTACTTACTCATAATCTTTAAGTCAAGTATCCTCCATGGCATTGTAACTAATCTCAATTGGCGGTTTTAAGAGCCACTGTGCTTGTAGTTTTCTCTTGTCTCTCCTCAGTTTCTACCATTTGATTGTAGCAGCTTACTATCTTTTTGTCCAACTCATAATATTCTTCCATCTTCCCCAAATGTTTCAAATCCAGGTCAATGAAATTCACCTAGAAAAATGCAGCTCAATAAGATATTAGTGTCATAATGAATGATTTTTCGCATGGAATTTCACTTTTCAACTTATAGAAAGTAGTGATTACAATTTTTATGTGCTCTAGCCGTTAAGAAATGGATAGATTACTAGAGGAAACCTTTCAAGAATGAAAACAAAAAACTAAAACCAATTAAACTTCCAAATGAGGACGGAACTTGTTATGGTAATAGACAGAACAAAATATTAAGGGGATATTTACCTTGTAATCAAAAGATTGGTTGGTTGATTCTAGATGCAAGTTATTATAAGGAGATCCTGGATTCCCATCTTTCCTTGGTCTAAAACTAATCATCATACTGCAGTCCTTTGCACTAGTAGCAATCAAGAAGTCCTTCACAATCTTCAAGCTCTCATCCAAAGACATGGAATGCAATGACAAATATTTCTGAACTTTTGATGGTAAGGAATATATACATGAAGAGAAAACTCCAGTACAATTGAGTTCAATACAATCAAAGAGGAAAGCATTCTAAACTTTCGATGGTAGGGAATGATCCTAAATATGACAATTTTAAAAACATCAACAAAACTTGTAATAGCAATACATCCGCAAGAAAGTTTGTCTATCTGAAAACAAGATTTCAAATAATAGTGTTAAAAGACTGAATAGTTTTATTGGTAATTTTTTGTGTCCAAATAGTTTTATTGTTGAATTTTGCTTTACAAAATGTTAAGAGGAGATTACATTTAATAAACTATATTTGTATCACCGCTCTAATAGAAGTAAAACTTACTTGAAGGTATCGATTGGTAGGTATACTTCTATTAAAAAAGTAGTATAAATATCGTCTAACAAATATGATATCTTAACATCACCTTTATTTCTTCAAATTATTGTTGCATTATTAGTCTATGTAATCTTATTGTTGCATTATTAGTCTATGTAATAAATTGGTGGAGCCGCATTTCCAACTCTCCAACGTTATACTTGGTGGGAACATTTGACAATTGTCAGATAAATGTGGATATAGACCAACACGTTTAAATTGCAAAGCCATCACCTCCCTGAATGACACCCTTTAGTGCATCTTCAAATGCTCCCCCAATCGCCAAATTGGTGCCGTGTGCACCACCGCCTAAGCCCCCAAATATTAGAGAACCATTCAAGAATACACGGAAGTTATTCTGTGGGGTTGAGAAGAGATCCTTGATTGCTTTATGTATCCTGTCCTTGGATCCAGAGAACAGATCGAGTGGATCATATTCACTATATTCTGATATCTGCAACATACATTTAGAAGCATCCAAGTCAGAATTGATCATTAATATAACCAGACTCGCTTTGCGGAAATTTGTGCACAGAAGTTCTAAGAATCAGATAAGATGGCATTCCCATTGGGCATATGAATACGTTCCGGTTTAGTAAAGAAGTTAACCAAGAGAATAACTTATTAAAAGAGCACCTCTCCATCATGAAATTTCAGGGCTTGGTGCATCCTAAAACGAGTAATGCTTCATTTAATGGAATTTCCGTCATCAATGAACTTTGAAGATGGGAGAAATCCACATTTTGGCTATTTTTGGAAACAATTAAATGAAAAGGGAATTGTCAATTATAATTCAAGGGTATGCCTCCAGTGAATAAAAGAGACAAAAATTTACACGACAGGTACCTTTATCTCTACAGATATAGAGGGTTCAACTTCTTGAGTAACTGAAAAGAACAAAGCAGAAGAAGCTGTCACTTAAAACAAAACAGTAAAAAAACGCAAATTTCTTATCATATATGCCACAAGACAATATTTAAATGGATGGATGTGTCTACATTGAATAAGATACAAATTTCCTATGATGCTAAGCAGAAGGCTATCTCCAGGTTTCTCTTCCTGCTTTTCTGAGTTGTAGTGTAGGTGCCAGGTGTTATATGAACCCATACTTTATCCGTGAAATGTAAAAGTAAAGTGATAATTTCAAGTGGAAGCAAGGAAAACAGGCATGCAAAAGAAAACCTGGATAATAGGCTAAATAAGCCATCCGACTTTGGAGCTAAATTAAACCATCACACAGAATACCCTGTTAACTCGAATTGCTACAATTGACAGACAAGTGCAGAACAGTGAGTTCTAAATGTAAAAGTTGTAAATCACAGGGAGATGCTAAATACCAAGAGGAAAAAGAGAATGATCAGACATGAGAAGCACAGTATCACTTTGTGTGCCAACTTTAGTGGCATCAACTCGAGAAGCAGGGCGCTGACTAATTACATTCTTCTCAACTGACTCCAAGAATTCCCTGGAAACAGGGACACGCATCTGCCAAAATTTAACTTGAAGGTTATAGAACAATACAATATGTAACTCTTAAACCATTCATGCACAAGTTCAAAGAAAAACTAAATATACAAACTACATTGACATAGTTTTAAAACTTTCATGCATAATTATCCAGGAAAGAAAGACAAAACATTGACATAGCTTCCGTTCAACAGACATTATTCATTTGTACATGTATAAACTCAGATTTTCACATACCCCAGCATCAACGTACGCAGAACCCAATAAAGGGCTCATGATGTGCTTCACATAGAGTTGGCCGGCAAGTTCTTTGTTAGAAGTAGCTACAATGTCATCCATGTCTTTCCACAAAAGAAGTTCGTGGGCGGTTAATGCCGTGGGACTGTTCGAGGCCTTTGACCCATTAATTCGAGCTTTCTGCAACCGCATTACTTTACCTATCTACATACAGAAACACACAAAATTTCCCAAGCATGACAATAAGAACAATCATTACCCAATTCCAACTCCCTTCACGAACTACTACAAATTTTCAACTTTTTCCTTAAAAAATAAAATTAAATATTAAAATGCAGGATTGAAGCTCAGGGTAGAGTGAAACATACAAAAGTGGGGGAGGATCCGGTGTAAGCGAGAACAAGATTAGCAGCCCCTTCGCCTCTGTAAGCCCATTCAGCAGCGTCTTTCTTCTCCAAAACGACCTCCATATCTCGCCCTTGGCCGCGTTTCAGCTTCTCTCCGTCACTAAACATTCCAAAAATCCCATCTTTCCCATTTCTTCAAATACCCAAAACCCAAATTCTGAAGAAAAAAAATCGAAAATTTGCATGTACCTGATCAATGAGATAAGATTTGGGTTTTTGCGTTTCTGGGTTTTCTTCCACCTTGCCGGAATCAGCTGACACGAACTACACCCACCCAGCTCGCAAAGAGACGATTTTATAGAGATAAGGCGACGTCGAAGTCGCAGTGGGGGTATCTCTGATCACTTGGTCACTCGCTTCCTTCCACCTTTACTGAAGGCTTAGGAAGCAACCTAAACCCAAAACCCACTAAATTAAATATTAAAAAAATAGATAAAGAACTCGAAAAATCAACCCCACTTTTTTAAAAAAATAAGTTGCTCCAAAATCTATTTAATTCTCCTAAATAAATAGTAGTTTAATTCAATAAACAATAATTGGCTAAGTACATTTTAACTCCTATAAACTGAGCTGGCTAGTCAATTCGTATTAAAATATTATTAAATTTTTTATAAAATAATTTATTTTTAATTTCAGATATGATTTTTAACATGCTATCATCTGAAAGTACTATTTTTGTGGATAGATTTTCGATAAGATTTTAAACAAATCTCATTGCACCACGTGTCACTATTTGTTTATAATCCTTTAGAATAGATTTCGATAAGATTTTCAACCAATTACATAGTGTCACGTGGCATTATCTACAACTTCATCCTTTCTTTTTTGTCAAACCTACATCCATCCTAATTCATACACCAAACTCAAACTAACTCAAAATTATTCTTCGTCATTTTTAAATCTTGAGTTCTTACAATGTTTTCTTCAAGTAGATTATATGAAATCAATAAGCAAGAGAAAAATTTGTTTACAGAACAGGAAGAATTGTTCAATCTCAAGGATGGTGGAGATGAGGCATTCATAATGGAAGAGGAAGATGATGATTAACATAGAAGGCAGAGAGCTTCACATTCTCATCGTGTCATGCAAGCTGTGGGTCAGATCTCCAAACCCAAATGTGTTGCAAACTTGGATAGAAAAATGGAAAGACGAGGTAATGATCTATTGGAAGATTATTTTATCCCCAACAACATATTCCCTAATCATTTTTTTAGACGATGTTTTAGAATGCAACGAAGTTTGTTCAACAAAATCATGATTGGTATTTGCGACCATGATCCATACTTTGTGTAAAAAAAGATGCTTTTCATGTTTTAGGTATTCTTCCTGAGCAAAAAATTACTGGTGCCTTGCCGATGCATGCATATGGAATATCTGGATCAAGTGGATGAGATAGCGAGGTTGGGGAAATCAACTATTTTAGAGTTCCTGATGAGGTTTTGCTTCGCAATCAAAGCTCTCTACACTAATGAGTACCTCTGAAAATCTAGGACAATGGACTTGCCCTCTACACCAATGAGTACCTCAGGAAACCCAGGACAATGGATCTGTTATGATTGGAAGCATCGACTGTATCCACTGGACCTGGAAAAACTATCGAAATGTGTGGCAAAAAGCTTATGGTGACAAAAAAGAGTCAAAAGTATCATTTTGGAAGCGGTGGCATCGTTTGGCAGCTACAAGATATCTGAATTTGGATTCGTTTGGGGTGTGATTTAATTACGGGCTTGGCCCATTACTCATTCAGATCACATTGAGCACTCAGAGCCCAATAGACTTTTCTTTTCCGTTTGGTGAACGAGCCCAATCGACTTGTGTGCTGTCCCGACCTCTTGCAACTACGTCTACTCTTCAAATGGTTCAGTTACACAACCCTACTTTTTTCGAAACCATAAAATATGGCCTAATATGGGTTGACTTGTAGCTAGGGCATTAGACTTCTGCTTTTAGGACTACTAGTTAAGTTGTTTTCTATTTAGGGGAGAACAACACATTGAGTGAGATAAGTATCAAAATTGGCTTTCACCCACACTGCTAGTTATACAGGTGATCGTATTCTGGTATAAATTCCACATAATAATTTTGTATAAAAAAATATTAATATACTTCACATTCACTCGAAACATAACATCCCATACAATATCATCATCTCGTAACAAATTGAGGAGAGATATTCCTAATTTGGTAAGCCAGAATCATCCACCAATAGATTTTGAGCAAAGGCTTCCCGATTCTCAAATTTGAAGACTAACTGCCTATCGTTTCCAACTCTCTCAAGTCTGAGGTCACATGCTCCATTTGGCTTTGCACCGGCCTAATTTTTCCAACTCTCTGAAATCTGTCATCCTTTACTCATCAAATAATTCAAGGTCGAAACTAATTCTGCGCGCATCGCTAGATGGCAATTGCATGGAATCATAGTTAGGCTCTGGGGTTCGGTTGGGTCACCGATTGCGATTGTCAAGTTCTCTTGGTGACAGCTCGCAGATCATGACTATTCGCTGGTCCCAACCAATTAGGTTGGATTTTGCTTATAGTTCCATTTTTTCGGCACACAAATTAAAATATTTATTGATATACTTTTTAATACGTTGAGACTTGAGAATCAATGTATATACTTTCTAATACGTTCAGACTTGAGAGAAATAATATGTCTAAAATGAAGAATAGTTTAACTATTTGCCAGAGCCTTGAAATCCCCTATAGCCAACAAGGGTTGGCTCAATTGATCAGGTCCTTGTCTTATGTGTTGCCCCATCAAAGTTCGAGCCTTGCTGCCTGCAGTTCTCGTTGGTGGGCGATCTGTAAATTCCTACGTAAATCTGCCGGCAGCAGGCATTTAAGTATCATGCATAAGCCATTCCAACTCGAGGTTGTGGGTATGCCCTGGCACTGATGGTGAGAGTAACCAATCTCCCCCTAAACTTTTTGTTAAAAAAAAAATCCCTATACTTCAATAACATATCCTAAATTCTAATTATGATCAGTTGGTTCTCATTAGCATTTTTGTGTTGGTTTATGCTATTAACTTATTGAACTACGGCGTCATGCTGATAAATATAGGGGTAAATCAGGCATACAGAATCAGATAGAGTTAAAGATTTGGGGATTGAAATTGTATATATGTACATATATGTACGAAGTTAGGGTTTTGTCTGGCTTTTGTATTTTGGCCTTAGGTTTTTCCAACGTTAGGTTATAAACTTATAGTGCATGCATGGATATATGTGGTCTTGCACGTGACACATGGCACACAATATAGTACGTACTAGTTCAGGGTTTTTTTTTTGAACGTTAGGTTATACACTTCTCATAATCACGACGTGTGTGGTTGTAGTTTCTGCATGGTTCGACATAGGAAAAAAATTTCAATATGCCCGGAATACAAGAAAAATATTATATGTCATTATACAATAAGTAAAGTAAAATTAAAAAAAAAATCTTTCTATTTGTATAATAATATATGACGTATCGTTTTATATTCCGGACATAATAAAAAACCTCTCCCGGGGTCTATATATCACACCAGCATCACTTCAAAGTTTCATAAGTTTTATGTGAGTCGATCTGTGCGGAAGACAAGGGCCTGACTAGGGAAGAGAGACAGAGATGGAGGTGCTGCAAATACTTCACATGAACAAAGGGAACGGCGAGACTAGTTATGCTCAAAACTCTAAAGTTCAGGTACAAATTAATTTCTAATTTTAACAACAGCGCGCGAGGATAACAAAGGATATTAGTCGAGTAGTTCTTAATTATTATTGCATGGATCTCGTTTGATTAATCTAATTATTTTTTGTAGGAAAATATATTATCCATCGCAAAGCCAATCGTTGATGAAGCTGTACAAAAATTGTTGTGCTCAAATATGGCAACAATTGGGAGCATGGGAATAGCCGATTTGGGTTGCTCATCTGGACCAAACACCATCCTTCTCATCTCCGAAATAATTGATGCCATCCGTGCCACACGTAGCAGCTCATCATCATTCACAGAATTTAGAGTGTTTCTAAACGACCTCTTTAGCAACGACTTCAACACCATTTTTATGTCACTCCCGGCATTCTACAACCAACTAAAGGAAGAAAATGGTGCTGGACTCGGGTCTTTCTTTGTCTCCGCCACGCCGGGCTCGTTTTACGGCAGGTTGTTTCCAGCCAAGAGTTTGCACTTCGTGCACTCTTCTTCTAGTCTTCATTGGCGCTCTCAGGTCCCTCATGGCCTGGATCTCCAGGCAGCTGGCAAAGCGTTGAACAAAGGAAAGATTTGGATTTCTAAGACCAGCCCCCAATGCGTTTTGGATGCATATTCATTTCAATTTCACAAGGATTTTTCGTTATTCTCAAGTCCCGGGCTGAAGAAATAATTGGTGGAGGACGGATGGTGTTGTCAATCCCAGGCAGGTCATCCTCTGACCCATCAACTCCAGAGAGCTGCTACCAGTGGGATCTCCTAGCTCATGCATTAATGACCATGGTTTCAGAGGTACCTACATAGAAAAATATCCAATATTTAGTTTTAAGTTCCTAGTAATTCTCTTCATCTCCTAACAAGAATTTTCTTAATAATTTAACTTTTTTTTATGAACAATTATTATTTTTTTGTTATTTAGGAACAATACTTCAAGAATCAAACCATAGAAGAAAACTTCTGACCTATCAACTGTCAAAGTTGAGCAAAATAATAGTTGAGTGGGTAATAACATTTGAGTTTACCTTTTTTTTTCTTCTTTTTTAAAATGATATTCAATTTTTTTTTTTTTTTTTTTACTAAGAATGGAGTTTTATAGACTGCTTTATGAAGAACCCTTTTTCTCTATTTTTCACGAGTAATGTTATTTGGACATACACAAGACACATTCTTTAATACGTGCGTGACTCACATACCATTTCATAAGCATATATATTTTAGCGTATACAAATACAAGCTTAATTTATTGCCGAGTAACATTTAGTATATGAATGGTATAGGGTCTTATTGAAGAGGAAAAGGTTGATTCCTTCAACCTTCCGTACTATGTCCCGAGTGAAGAGGAAGTGAAGCTGGAGTTAGAAAAAGAAGGATCATTTATAATAGACCGCTTTGAAGCCTTTGAAATTGATTGGGATGGTGGTGCGGAAACAACCGTCGTAGCCAGTGGTCAGCGAGTGGCCAAGACCATAAGAGCTGTGGTTGAGTCGATGATCGAATCTCATTTTGAAAAAAATATCATGGATGATCTGTTTCGTCGGTACGCCGAGCTCATCGCCGACCACTTATCAAAATCTAGAACCAAGTTGCTCAATTTGTTTATTTCAGTCATTAGAAAGGACTGAGTTTTCTTAAACTTCCCAATAAAAATTTTCATCAACAGATTAAAGATCTGGTCTCATTGCCATTTCCTTAGTTATGTTGTTGGATTTTGTTTTAGAAAATGTTAAGGGGAGATCATATTTAATAAATTATGTTTGTACCACTTCTCTAATAAAGGTAAAACTTACTTGAAAAACCTTATTTGTATCGGCGGTTCTACTTCTATTTAAAAAATAGACGTTAAATCTACTTGAAGACCCTACTTGACTCGTTTTAGGATGTAATATAATTACGGGCTTGGCCCCATTACTCATCCAGATCACGTTGAGCACTCAGAAGCTGAATGGATTGTTTTTCCTTTTTGGTGAAAGAAGCACAATGGACTTGTTTGTTGTGCGGACCTCTTGCAACGACGTCGCCTCTTCAAATGGTTCAGTTCAGTTGTTACACAACCGTACTTCTTTAGAAAAAAAAACTACATAAGCAAAAAGCGGATTTGCATAGTTTGTACTAATTTTTGTCTTTTGATTTTATTCAATGTATTTGATTCGAAGGTTAAAAATTAAAAAAAGTATCGAAAGTAAAAAGAGGTGTGCAGATAGCACTATCCAATTCTGTATGGTATTCTAAAGCATTTTATATTTTATATTTTTTAACCGTTAAATCTCTGATCAAATCACACAAAAACTAAAATCTATTGGTTATTAATTATTCTATGCTTTGAAGCACCACAGAATTTTTGCTAAGGCTAATAGCATAATAGTTCGGGTCATGAAAACAAGGACCGAAACCATAAATGTGGGATAATACGGAGTTGACTTGTGGCTAGTGCATTCGACTTCTGGTGTTAGGACCATTAGTTAAGTTGTTTTCTATTTAGCGGAGAACAACACATTGAATGAGAGAAGTATCAAAATTGGCTTTCATCCGCGTTGCTAGTTATACTAGGTAGTTGTATTTTGGTATATATTCAACACACTAATTTTGTATAAAAAAGTTATATATACATCACAATCATTCGAAAATATTACACCCCACAAATATAATATCGTTATTTCGTAACAATCTGAGAATAGATTGTCCTAATTTTGTTAGCGAGCCTATCAACAATTGTATTTCGTTTCATGTGCACACAACACATGGAAATTAGGGACCTTGATTCTTCATCTCCCATTTTCTTTCCTTTTTAGTCTCCTCTTATTTGAACGTTCACAATTGAGTCATATCAATATTTTATTTTGATTTCTTTATAAGGAGAGAAAGACAAAAAGAAAAATGAGAGAAGCGAGCGAGATTTGGATGGAAAAGAATCCTATCTACATACAGAAACACACAAAATTTCCCAAGCATGACAATAAGAACAATCATTACCCAATTCCAACTCCCTTCACAAACTACTACAAATTTTCAACTTTTTTCCTTAAAAAATAAAATTAAATATTAAAATGCAGGATTGAAGCTCAGGGTAGAGTAAAACATACAAAAGTGGGGGAGGATCCGGTGTAAGCGAGAACAAGATTAGCAGCCCCTTCGCCTCTGTAAGCCCATTCAGCAGCGTCTTTCTTCTCCAAAACGACCTCCATATCTCGCTGTTGGCCGCGTTTCAGCTTCTCTCCGTCACTACACATTCCAAAAATCCCATCTTTCCCATTTCTTCAAATACCAAAAACCAAAATTCTGAAGAAAAAAAAATCGAAAATTTGCATGTACCTGATCGATGAGATAAGATTTGGGTTTTTGCGTTTCTGGGTTTTCTCCCACCTTGCAGGAATCAGCTAACACGAACTACACCCTCCCCGCTTGCAAAAAGACGATTTTATAGAGATAAGGCGACGACGAAGTCGCAGTGGGGGAATCTCTGATCACTTGGTCACTCGCTTCCTTCCACCTTTACTGAAAGCTTAGGAAGCAACGTAAACCCAAAACCCACTAAATTAAATATAAAAAAAAAAAAGATAAAGATTTCGTAAAATCAACCCCTCTCGTAAAATCAACCCCTGCTCCAAAATCTATTTAATTCATCCAAATAAATAGCAATAAACAGTAATTGGCTAAGTACATTTTCATCCCTATAAAATGAGATGGTTAGTCAATTCGTATTAAAATATTATTAATTTTTTTTATAAAATAATTTATTTTTAATTTCGGAAATGATTTTTAATGTATCATTATCTGAAAGTACTATTTTTGTAGATAGATTTCCGATAAGATTTTGCACCAATCTCGTCGCGCCATGTGTCACTATTTGTTTTAAATCATTTATAATATATTTCAATAAGATTTTCAACCAATCACGTAGTGTCACGTGACATTATCTACAACCTTATCCTTTCTTTTTTGTCAACCCTACATCCATCCTAATTCATACACCAAACTCAAACTAACTCAAAATCATTCTTCATCATTTTTAAATCTTGAGTTCTTACAATGTTTTCTTTAAAGAGATTATATGAAATCGATAAGCAAGAGAAAAATTTGTTTGCAGAACAGGAAGAATTGTTCAATCTCGAGGATGGTAGAGATGAAGTGTTCGTAATGGAAGAGGAAGATGATGATTAACATAGAAGGCAGAGAGCTTCACATTCTCATCGTCTCATGCAAGCTGCGGGTCGGATCTCCAAACCCAAACGTGTTGCAAACTTGGATAGAAAAATGGAAAGGCGAGGTAATGATCTTTTGTAAGATTATTTTATCCCCGACAGCATATTCCCTAATCATTTTTTTAGACGACGTTTTAGAATGCAACGAAGTTTGTTCAACAAAATCATGATTGGTATTTTCGACCATGATCCATACTTTGTGCAAAAAAAAATGCTTTTCATGTTTTAGGTATTCTTCTTAAGCAAAAAATTACTGGTGCCTTGCCGATGCATGCATATGGAATATCTTGATCAAGTGGATGAGATAGCGAGGATGGGGAAATCAACTGTTTTAGAGTTCCTGATGAGGTTTTGCTTCGCAGTCGAAGCTCTCTACACCGATGAGTACCTCCGAAAATCCAGGACAATGGACTTGCCTTCTACACCAATGAGTACCTCCGGAAATCCAGGACAATGGATCTGTCATGATTGGAAGCATCGACTGTATGCAGTGGACCTTGAAAAACTATCCAAATGTGTGGCAAGAAGCTTATGGCGACAAAAAATGAGTCAAAAGTATCATTTTGGAAGCGGTGGCATCATTTGGCAGCTACAAGATATCTGAATTTGGATTCATTTGGAGTGTGATTTAATTACGGGCTTGGCCCATTACTCATTCAGATCACATTGAGCACTCAGAGCCCAATAGACTTTTCTTTTTCGTTTGGTGAACGAAGCCCAATCGACTTGTGTGCTGTCCGGACCTCTTGCAACTACGTCTCGTCTTCAAATGGTTCAGTTACACAACCCTACTTTTTTCAAAACCATAAAATATGGCCTAATACGGGGTGACTTGTAGCTAGGGCATTAGACTTCTGCTTTTGGGACTACTAGTTAAATTGTTTTCTATTTAGGGGAGAACAACACGTTGAGTGAGAGAAGTATCAAAATTGGCTTTCACCCACACTGCTAGTTATACAGGTGATCGTATTCTGGTATAAATTTCACATAATAATTTTGTATAAAAAAATATTAATATACATCACATTCACTCGAAACATAACATCCCATACAACATCATCATCTCGTAACAAATTGAGAAGAGATATTCCTAATTTGGTAAGCCAGAATCATCCACCAATAGATTTTGAGCAAAGGTTTCCCGATTCTCAAATTTGAAGACTTGAAGTTGCCTATCATTTCCAACTCTCTCAAGTCTGAGGTCACATGCTCCATTTGGCTTTGCACCGGCCTAATTTTTCCAAATCTCTGAAATCTGTCATCCTTTTCTCATCAAATAATTCCAGGTCGAACCTAACTCTGCACGCATCGCAAGATGGCAATTGCATGAAATCATAGTTAGGCTCTGGGGTTCGGTTGGGCCACCGATTGCGATTGTCAAGTTCTCTTGCTGACAGCTCGCAGATCATGACTATTCGATGGTCCCAACCAGTTAGGTTGGATTTTGCTTATAGTTCCATTTTTTCGGCACACAAATTAAAATATTGATTGATATACTTTTTAATACGTTGAGACTTGAGAGAAATAATATGTCTAAAATGAAGAATAGTTTAACTATTTGCCAGAGCCTGAAATCCCCTATAACTAACAAGGGTTGGCTCAATTGATAAGGTCCTGGTCTTATGTGTCGCCCTATCAAAGTTCGAGCCTTGCTGCCTGCAGTTCTCGTTGGTGGGCGATCTGTAAATTCATACGTAAATTTGCTGGCAGCAGACATTTAAGTATCATGCATAAGACATTCCAACTCGAGGTTGTGGATATGCCCTGGCACTGATGGTGAGAGTAACCAATCTCTCCCTAAACTTTTTGTTAAAAAAAAAAATCCCTATACTTCAATAACATATCCTAAATTCTAATTATGATCAGTTGGTTCTCATTAGCTTTTTTGTGTTGTTTATGCTATTAACTTATTGAACTACGGCGTCATGTTGATAAATATAGGGGTAAATCAGGCATACAGAATCAGATAGAGTTAAAGATTTGGGGCTTGAAAGTGTATATATGTACGAAGTTAGGGTTTTGTCTGGTTGTTGTATTTTGGCCTTAGGTTTTTCCAACGTTAGGTTATAAGCTTATAGTGCGTGCATGGATATATGTGGTCTTGCACGTGACAAATGGCACAAAATATAGTACGTACTAGTTCAGGGTTTTTTTTTTTTTTTTTTTTTTTTTGAACGTTAGGTTATAAACTTCTCATAATCACGACGTGTGTGGTTGCAGTTTCTGCATGGTTCGACATAGGAAAAAAATTTCAATATGTCCGGAATACAAGAAAAATATTATATGTCATTATACAATAAGTAAAGTAAAATTAAAAATAAAAATCTTTATATTTGTATAATAATATATGACGTATCGTTTTATATTCCGGACATAATAAAAAACCTCTCCCGGGGTCTATATATCACACCAGCATCACTTCAAAGTTTCATAAGTTTTATGTGAGTCGATCTGTGCGGAAGACAAGGGCCTGAATAGGGAAGAGAGACAGAGATGGAGGTGCTGCAAATACTTCACATGAACAAAGGGAACGGCGAGACTAGTTATGCTCAAAACTCTAAAG